GGATGTAAGAAAGCTTATACCCAACTAGCTAATATTTATAGTGCTCTGCAATTCACAAACCACTTTGACCTACATTATTCAACTGAGTGTCCAATGTAGCTTGATGGTACAAGTGGGTGATTGCCTCAAGCCTTTAGAACAAACTCCAAACTTAATTGTGCACCTTTCCTTAACATAATTACTGCGGATTATAATTACATTATCATAATCAACCTAAAATGAATAAAACACTTGTGGCTCATTGATGATAAGATTACTATCACTATTACCTTTACTATAATTACCAGAGCTATGATTTATTGGTTCCTATGGCTGCTAAACAAAAGGTTGGCAGTTCGAATCCATCCGCTGCTCATTGGAAACCCTACAGGGCAGTTCTACTCAGTCTTATAGGGTTGCTATGAGTTGGAATCGACTCAAGGGCAATGGGTTTTTAGGTGACTGGCTGCTAGAAATGGTTCTAAACACTTTGTATTAATATCTTAATTAATACACATAATCACCTTAGATGTAGGTAGTGTGATTATCCCTATATTAAATATGAGGGAACTACCCCTCAGAGGGGTTAAGTAACCTACCTGAGATCACTCAGCTAGTAAGCGACTGAGCTCAGAGCCTGTGACCATTCACAACCTCTGCGTTGCATTCTTACTATATGACATCATGGCTAAGCAAGCCTTCTGAGAAGGTCTCTGCCACCAGGCAACTATCAGGCCCAAGGATGAACTAGGACCTGGGCATGTCCCAAGACAAGCAAGCAGACAGATGGGCAGACACTGAGCAGGACAGGGAGGACAAATGGAGTTAACCATGGAGGAGACGGCATCCCATGCTGCAATCAGCACTGCAACCAGCTAATCAGATCAGGCCAAATCACATCCCAGGCAATCTTCTGGGCAGCCTTCAGAGAGTCACCCAGCCTGAGAGGCCAGCCAGTTATGCCTGATCATTCTCTGAAGCCCTGTCCTTATAAAAGACAAGTCCACACTGGCCCAATGTAGACAAATGAGCAGTTCTGTTATCTCTGAAAGGCAATCTAATTCCCTTCAAATTTAAAAGTCTCCACAGTCTCCTAGCAAGCCTCAGTGGGGCTCATGTAGAAATTAGTAAGTTCACGGCACGCCCAGCTTGCTTTCATTATCATTTTTTTGCCATGCAGTAGACAGGATTTTCATTATTACTTAAGGATTCGTCTGTATCTGATTCTCTAAGACGGTCATGTCTACAGGGCTCAGACACTGGATTGAGAACTGAGTTAAGTCTGATGGACTTGACTGAGGTTTGAGGGAGGTTTCATTGACTGAGAGTCAGAGCCTTCACTAATCAAGTGGGGCAGGGACCAAAAGGCAATATCACAGGGAAAGGAAAGTCTGAGCAAGTGGTGAGAAGTGGGCACTCATCTCAGCCCCATTGCTGCCATCTCTGGGATCCTGGGCAAATTACTTAGACTCTCTGAAACAGCTAGGGAGGAGGCTCTGAAAAGGGAACTTGACTTTATTAAACTTCTACTATATCGAATCCACGCATAATGCTTCATAGACTTTCTCTCAATTTAATCAAAACAACAACTCTGGACAGCTTACATTATTTTACAGATGAAGACAGTATAATCACTTACTCCTCCATATCGTCACTAAATCAAACCATTAGGCTGAGTCACACTGGGGCCAGGGAATGAAGGACACCTGTGGTGTGGCTGGGGGGCACAAACTCACACATTTCTGGAGAGCAATTTAATACGTTTTCGGAAATTTAAAATGTTCCTATCCTTTGACTAATTCCAATTCTGGAAACCCATCCAAAACATGGAATCTGAAATGTGGGTGCATAGTCTAATAAAAGCATTGGAAATAAATAAATTGTCCACCAACAAGAGACTGTTAAACTATAGCACATACACTGGGTGAAAAACATCATGCGGCCATTTTTAATCAGGTGCAGAAGAATATTTAATGAAATGGGTTATTTTCATTAATTAAGCAGGAAAATTAAATTATAGCATTGAAATTTTTGACGAAAAAAGAACAGAAAAATGACTGGAAGGAAACACACTAAAATGTTAGCAGAGGCTTTCTCTGGGGATAGGAAAATGTATACTTTGTAAGTTCCCCTTTGCGCTTTGCTATATTCTTCACGTTTTCTACAATAAACAGTTATCACTGTTGTAATCAGAAGATATACAATGAAAGCTATTTTTTTTGATCTCTGGATTTTGCATTTATATATGAAATACAATCATGTCTTCATTTAAATAAAATTTCACTTGAAATCATGTATGATTTCTGAATGATAGCCTAGAAGAATCTAAGTGTAGGAAATAATTTCTATAAGTTTTAAAATGGGGGAGGGGCAAGACAAACAAAACAGAGGAAAAATGTTATGGATGGAACTGTCTTTCAACAAGCCTATAGCTCACCTCCTGGGCTGAACTGGAAATAAAGACCACTGAGAAAGGGGTAGAAAAACCGTCACACAATTCAAGAGTAGTTGATAAGGGCCGGGGGTGGGGGTGGGTGTCGTGCTAAAAGCTTCTGTTGCCATCTGGAAGTGATGGAGCTGGCAGATATGAATTTTCCAATTTTATGAGAATGATAGGGATCTGAAATAAATCTTCCATATTTTCTTTTAAAGATAAATGTTTTAAAATAAGTGCCTGCAGCATGGATGGATGGCTGGCACCGCTGTCCTCTCTTAGAGCTCATCATAAATAACACTGAGAAAAATAGCTTTGACCATTCTGAAAAGCACCTTTATTTTTCACTCTTAAGAGCTTGGAAGATTATATTTTGATGCATTAAGCTAACCTTTTTTTTTTTTTAAATGCACCTGCAAATATCAGGAAGAGTATAGAAATTGTCTTCGGATGGAAGTAACTACTCAGGGCTTGGCATGGAAGCAAACCTTAGGTGCCTAAAAATCTGTAGGCACCACGAGTGGCTGGACTACAAATTCCAGTTCAAATGCATTAGATGTGTTTACAATTTAAAGAAATTCTTCGGTGAGTCTTCAGGTGATGCTATCAATTGCCCTTCAGTCCTACAACCAAGGAAGTAAGTAATCTTTTGCAAATCCAAATTTTCAAATACCAGACTTGCCTGAAATGGGCCTACCTGTACAGTTAGACAGCTTATAACTTTACTAGCTCAGCGTATTCAATGACTTCAGTTTCCTCTTTACTACTGGATGAGAAGAAGGCCACATTAAGGGCAGACATAATGAGTAATCTGACACACCCCTCATCTTCTAAAGTGCTAGTCTCACTACAGTGAAATGACTTAATGGTATCCATTTACCTCCCATTTAATTTGTCATTGATTTTCTCTGTTATGTTTTAAAGAGGAGCCACACATTTGAAAGGAAAGGTGAGTGAGGGGTCCTGGCTTGCTGGAAGGACCTTTGCACACCAGCTGTGAGCAAAGGAAGAGGCTGAGGGAATCTGTGAGCACAAGCTCAGTCTAACAGGGGAATACATAACTCAGTTTTATTTCAGATCTGATGCCTCAAGATAAACCAGAATCCTACATTTTTATGCTAAATCTCCCAATTTCTAAATGTTGACTCTATTTTTTTTCAAATACACAGTGCATGACAAACCAAACATATCCATGACCCAAATATTTTTGCTAGTATTTGTTTAAAAATCACATTTCCAGAGGGTTGCTAAGGATTGTCAATCAACCCCAGTACCTTGTTAGATACGTCAAAGAAGGCAAGGAACTGGAGTATTCCTAGGCTTGGGGAAGATACCTCATCCTTTGTGGAAAAGACAGCATAGGATTTACCCTTCCAAGTGGAGTATGGCTGAAAGGAGACCTCTGAGGATGGTTGGAAGACGTATGGAGATTCGCCAACTTTAAACACCATGGGAAGTCAGAGTTAGGTGGTTATCATTCTATGTAAAATAAAGATAAAACCTTCTAAGAGCTCAGAGTATCTCCGCACGCTCTGCAAGAATGCTTATAGGTTTATCTTCACATAAGGCTGAATTTCCTCATTTAACCTACCCCCTTGCTCCTTACTTTATAATGTTCTTTAATGAAAAAACGGCCTTTACAGAGCTTACCTCTTAGAAGTGCAAAAGAGCCAATTTTTTTCTGCCCAAGTAGCTCATAATGTAGCAGACAAACTGACAGAAAAAATAGACTTCATTATGGTGAAAACCTCAGCCTGGCACCCATCTATCATAAAGCAATCTTCTAGAAATCTTGAAAACTTTCATTAAATTTCCTGTCTTTCTCCTGACAGTTATAAAATATTAACAATATTACTCATGATGCAAGCATCTTCAGAAATTCTTTGTCCAATCCCTCTTCCCCCGCCATCACCCACCCTCTTCTCTTTGCCAAAATCCACAGAAACGTGCGACATATCGACATTCTTCACACAGCCCTCCTGGCACCTGGCCCTTCCAGGAGACCAGAGGAGAAGACACTGGCAGTCCTTATGACAGTGACAAGGCTCTCTAGCCACAAGCTACAGAGAACAATATGGCACTGCCTTTGGATTCCTCCTCCAAAAGCCACACCTACTTAGAAGCTCAAGGGCTGGACCCTATCCTACTTTTTGCAAATCTTTCCTGATTCTTTTTTCTTCCCCTCATTTTTTCTTGCTAATCTACCAAGCTACAAGTCTCCACCTGTCCCTGATACGTAAGCAGTAGGGACAGTGGACCACACAATTTGTCATGTCGATTGGTCATCTTTCTAGGGAGAAATCCCCTCAGAATCTTACCAGCCCAACGTCTCCAACTCCAGGGGCAATTTCAGAAACTTACTATCCCTCAGAAGAAAAAGATACAAGTGTCTTATGTAGGAGGTGACATCAAGGAGAAAAATCGTACGAGATACAGAAGGCACACCAGAAATAAGAAGAGGCATACAGCTGTCACATCACAAACTCATCTATGAGATACACAAGTGATTACTACAACATAAAGCCCTAGCTTGGGCTTCATGAAAGTTTCCCAACCTGTCTCCAAAGTGAGCCAAGCTCAAGCATACTAAGCTATCATCTTACCTGCAAAAGGTACTGGTGCATCTTTATCCAGGGCTACAAGAGGTGGGTCCAAAATGACTGTGTCATTGTTCTCAGTTATGACTCCATGATATGAAGTCTCAATCCAAGGCTTGTGCTTGTTGACTAAAAAACAGGGAAAAAAATACAACAAACAAAAAGGTTGATTTTAAAGATCATAACTTGAATACCTAATTCATAATAATATTTTTAATATTGTATATTTTACCAATCATAGGCTCTCATCCCAGAACCCCATGGGGGATACAGAGCATGTTAGTCCAATTTTACACCCAGAGAAGTTCAAAGAGGTTCAACAATTCACCCAAGGCACACATAAGGTCAGGGGCAAACTGAAACTCAAACACAGGTGTTTTCTCAAGACCATGGATCTTTACCTCACCAAAAGCTCATGATTTACATTCCTGGATGCCCAATGTAGATAGATATTATTGAAAATTGATCAAAAGCTTTAATTCTCACATGCTATGATCCATTAATAGATGTCACTGTTTGAGAGTTAAAGTTCATTATCAAGCAATAAACTAGCAGACAATGTGCTGGGATTTCTGACCCCAGTTTAATCTGATGCATCATTAGGAGCTGTCACTGCATTTTATATACATACATGAATCTATATGCACAAAGGTGTGTGTGTGCATGTACATATAGATACAAACGTATATATATATATATATATTATATATGTATTGTATTTGTAGATTGCTTTGGGTAGAATGGACATTTTCACAATGTTGGGTCTACCTATCCATGAACATGGTATGTTTTTCCATTTATGTAGGTCTCTTATATAGGCTCTCATCCAAGAACCATGGGCTTCTTGGATGAGAGCCTGTATATATATATACGAGAGAAAAGACCTGGTGATCTGCTCCTGTAAAGATTACAGACCAGGAAACCTATGGGGCAGTTCTACTCTGTCACATGGGGTCACTATGAGTTGGAATCAACTTGATGGCACCTAACAACAACAACACACACACACACACACATGCACGTACATATATGTATATATATACATACACACACACACATATTCTTTAAAGATCCAGCAAACATTTGATTATTTTCTGATCGTTTAAAAACTATCTAACTCCATGAAAAAAACTACTGGAATAGAAAGATTCAGCAGAGTAGCAGGATACAAGATAAACATACAAAAATCAGTTGCATTCCTACACACCAATAAAGAACTATGAAAAGAAAATCAGGAAAACAATACCATTTATAATAGCCCCTAAAAAAATAAAATACTTAGGAATAAATCTAACCAGGGATGTAAATTACCTATACAAAGAAAACTACAAAACACTACTGCAAGAAATCAAAAGAGACCTACATAAATGGAAAAACATACCATGCTCATGGACAGGTAGAACCAACATTGTGAATATGTCAATTCCACCCAAAGCAATCTACAAATACAATACAATCCCGATCCAAGTACCAACAACATTCTTTAAAGAGATGGAAAAACTAATCATTAACTTTATATGGAAAGGGAAGAGGCCCTGGATAAGTAAAGCACTATCGAAGAATAAAGTAGGAGAACACACACTACCTGACCTCAGAACCTACTATACAGTTATGGTAGTCAAAACAGCCTGACACTTGTACAATGACAGACAGATTGACTAATGGAACAGAATTGAGAACCCAGATATAAATCCATCCACCTACAGTCACCTGATATTTGACAAAGGCCCAAAGTCCATCAAATGGGGAAAAGACAGTCTTTTTAACAAATGGTGCTGGCAAAACTGGACATCCATCTGAAAAAAATGAAATAGGACCCACACCTCACACCATACACAAAAACTAATTCAAAATGGATCAAAGACCTAAATATAAAACCAAAAACTATAAAGATCTTAGAAGAAAAAATAGGATCAACGCTACAGATCCTAATACATGGCACAAACAAGATATAAACCATAACTAAGAAGACACAGACACCAGACGATAAGCTAGATAACTGGGATCTTCTAAAAATAAAACACTTATGCTCATCAAAACACTTCACCAAAAGAGTAAAAAGAGAACCTACAGACTGGGAAAAAAGTTTTGGCTATTAAAAATCTGACAAAGGTCTAATCTCTAAAATGTACAGGGAAATCCAGCAACTCTACACAAAAAGACAAATAATCCAATTAAAAAATGGGCAAAGAATGTGAATAGAAGAAATGCTTGCAATCACTAGCTATTACAGAAATGAAAATAAAAACCACAGTGAGGTACCATCTGACCCCGACATTACTGGCACAAATAAAAAAAAAAAAAAACAGAAAATAACAAATGTTGGAGAGGCTGCGGGAAGATTAGAACTCTTATGCACTGCTGGTGGGAATGCAAAATGATACAACCATTTTGGAAAATGATATGGCGCTTCCTTAAAAAGCTAGAAATAGAAATACCATATGATCCAGCAATCCCACTCCTCGGAATATATCCTAGAGAAATAAGAGCTGTCACACTGATAGACATATGCACATCTGTGTTCATTGCAGCATTGTTTACAACAGCAAAAAGATGGAAACAACCTAAATGCCCATCAACAGATGAATAGATAAAGAAACTATGGTACATACACAATGGAATACTATGCAATGATAGAGAACAATGATGAATCTGCAAAGTATCTCACAACATGGATGAATATGGAAGACATTATACTGAGTGAAATAAGTTAATAAGTTAATTGTATGAGACCACTACTATAAAAATTCCTGAAAAGGTTTACACACAAAAAGAAACAATCTTTGATGGTTATGATGGAGGAGAAGGGTGGGGAGGAAAAACACTAAACAGAAAATAGATAAGTGGTAACTTTGGTGAAGGGTAAAACAGTACATAATACTGGGGAGGCCAGCACAATTTGACCAAGGTAAGATCATGGAAGCTCCATAGACACATTGAAACTCCCTGAAGGACCTAATTACTGGGCTGAGGGCTGGGGACCATGGCTTCAGGGAACATCTAGCTCAACTGGCATAACATAGTTTATAAAGAAAATGTTCTACATTCTATTTTGGTGAGTAGCATCTGGGGTCTTAAAAGCCTGTGAGCAGCCATCTAAGATAGTCCACTTGTCTCACCCCATCTTGAGTGAGGGAGAATGAAGAAAACCAAAGACACAAGAGAAAGGACTAATGGACCACAACTACCACAGCCTCCACCAGACTGAGTCCAGCACAACTAGATGCTGCTCAGCTACCATCACTGACTGCTCTGACGGGGATCATAATAAAGGGTCCCAGACAGAGCAGGAGAAAAATGTAGAACAGAATTCTAACTCACACACACACAAAAGAGAAGACCAGACTTACTGGTCTGATGGAAACTGGAGAAACCCTGAGAGTATGTCCTCCCCAGACACCCTTTTAACTCAGTACTGATGTCACTCCTGAGGTTCACTCTTCAGCCAAAGATTAGACAGGCCCATGAAACAAAACAAGACTAAATGGGCCCACTAGCCCAGGGGCAAGGACAAGAAGGCAGGGGGGGACAGGAGAGCTGGTAATGGGGAACCCAAGGTCTAGAAGGGGAGAGTGTTGACATGTCATGGGGTTGGCCACCAAGGTCACAAAATATATGTATTGTTCAGTGAGAAACTAATTTCCTCTGTAAACCTTCATCTAAAGCACAATTAAAAAATTTAAAAAAAAAGTATCTATCTAAATGGTCTAAGTTATCTAGCAAGTTGTTTTTCAGCAATTTGGCCAGCTGAACAGTTATATTATCTAATGAATAATTAATACACTTAAAAGACCTGTTGAGTATACTTACTGTCAGCAGGTACTAATGAAGGGTAGAGAACTAGAATGAGATTTGTGGCAGGATCGGTGTAATATTTCTCTGAGCGTCTTATCTGGTGAATATCCAATTTCTGCCAATTCTGTCTCCTAGATGTCCTGAGTGATTTGGTCTGGCTCCACAATCTCCTACAAGGATAGCATCAGTGGCCTCCTGACTGGTCTCCCACTGTGAACTCTTGCCCTACTCCATTCCATCCTCCACACAGGCATTAAAAAGCAATCTTTCTAAGATACTAGTCCAATCACTCAACAATGAGCTCCTTGGTTTATACTTCTTTTTATTTCCCTACATGATGTCATAAAAGTCTGGGTGTAGAGCAGGTGCTTTAGAATCAAAATAACAGGTTAGAGGGAGCCCTAGAATAACCAAAGGTGTCCTGATGCCGACCCTCACACCTTGATTCACAGTTTAAAAGGTGCCATCACATATGTAAGGATCCCCGTAACAACTCTGTGAGGCAGATGTGATCCTTATGAAAATGATGAAACTGCTTCTCACAAGGTGTGACCTTCCCAAGACCGTATGAACAGTAATAACTAAAACCCCTTTCACACTTCATGATATCTAAAACACACACCCACACACATACACATGCACATATAAAACATCTTTTTTCAATAGCCATGGCAAAGCAAGAGTTTATAGACTTGAGAACAGCTCTGTTTTGGTGGCTCCTGTTCCCATCCCACCCCATCATCCTTCAAAAGGTCAGTAAGGGCTATTCAGCACCTAGGACTGGTGGTAGCCTCAACCTGGGCCACCATTTTTTTACTTCTCACCCATTTCGCAGCAACCATGGACTAACCAAGAGGCAGTTTAGTGGGACAGGGAAGTATGCCTTACTATTCTCAGGTCTTGGCCTTGAGAACCACTCTGCAGATTGCCTCATGCCCAGGGCAGAGAGCAGCTGTGCTGGTTTTAGGTCTGAATGGGGCAGCAGCTCATCCATGCTCACATTTTGGTGTTCAGACCTGTGCTGCATTATGGACCCCAGAAGAATTACAGCTCCCCCTGGGCTGTCCCCAAACTCCCTTGCTCTTTTATTAGCCATCAACACAAATACAATGTAAATAACTTGCAGCTGTTGGGAGAAACAATTAATCTATTTTCCCCTTAATTAAACCCAGGGGCCTATTCATTAGAAATGTGTACAGAGCGTACGCCAGGAACTCATCCAGTGTTTCAGATTCATTGTGCCCCTTGGCTCTGTGGCAGATAATAGAATCTAGACTCCCAGTTCCTGGGTTTCAGCCCTGGCTTAGCCACATCCTGGCTGGTCCTATGCAGCCAGTCTACCTCTCAGAGTTTCAACTCCTTCAATTGTAAAATGGGGTGAGGACACCTCTCACAGTGCTATCCTACCATTCACATATCCTGTGCTGGATGCACGGTCTCTTTC